GAATGCTGGCTGGGGAATTCTGGGAGTTGAAGTCCGGACATCTTCAAGTTGCTAAGGTTGAGAAACACTGCTCTAACCAACGACCCTGTTTCCCTGAAAATAAGCCCTCCCTGAAAATATTACAACACAGCAGCACCCTGGAGGTGACCACGCTCACCCCCTCGTGCACCTCAAAAATAATAAGACCTCCCCAAAAATAAGGCCAAGTGCTTATTTCGGAGATAAAAAAAGATGACCCTGTCTTATTTTCGGGGAAGCATGGTAGGCATGTGTTCTTCCTCCCTTTTTTTTCTTATTTTCGTTATTTCTCTTCACCAGAGGTGGCTTCCAGCTTCTCTTTAACTACCTCTAGTAAAGAAGAGTCCACCAACCACGTCTTACTTTTAGGAAATTCTTCCCAACGTCCAATCAAAATCTGCTTCCTCGTGATTTGAGTCATTGCTTCAGGTTCTGGAACAATTTGCGCTTGTCTTCTCCACAAAAGCCCTTCAGATGCTTGAAGATGGCCATCAAGTCTCTCTACCATCTTCTCTTCTCCAGGCTAAACTTACTCAAGACCTTCAACGGGTCCTTCTCAGATATTCCTCCCATTCTGCTGACTCTTCTCTGGATATTTTCCTCTGTGACCCGACAAAAGGGCGAACGACAAAACCGCGCCCGAATAAACCGCGTCGCTAAAACCGCTACGTCATCAACGCGCCGACAATAGCTCGGCGACAACAGCGCGGAGACAGAAGGGCACTTTACAACAGCGCGTCGACAGAAAGCCAATTTAACTTAAGGTAAGGGTTAGGTTTAGGGTTAGGTTTAGGGTTAGGTTTAGCCTTACGTTTAGGGTTAGGGTTAGGGTTACGTTTAGGGTTAGGGTTAGGGTTAGTTTTACAGCGCGCTTGTCGGCGCGCTGTTGTCGGCGCGATTCAGCGCTCATTCGTCGGAGCGCTTTAGAAAACACCGTTTTGTCACCGCGGTTTAGTCGGGCGCGGTTTTGTCGTTCGCCCTTTTGTCGGTGAACCATTCTCCTCTTTCTCAGTGCCCTTTCTAAAAATGTGGTGGGCGATATTCTACCAGCCCTAGGAAACCTCCACCCTTAATCAGGGCTTGGAAAATGCTATTTTTTTTTAACCTGAGAAGCAATTCCTTTGCCAAGGTCACAGACGCTGGAGCATTGGACAAATTCCCTTTTCGGTCTGACAGCCCATCGACTAGAAAGAACCTCCGGAGTGCTTGATTCAACGGGGGTGCTAAACATCAAAACAAGATGTAAGGAGAAAGATTTTAGCAAAGGTTCTGCAATGGTTCTTTCAACACAACGTACAAAAGCCGAGAGCAGAACGGCTTTGGAGAAGTTGTTTAATATCCGTAAAGTCAGAAGGGGTCAAACTATTTCCCAGTCCAAATAAAACTGCAAAACTGAACCGGTGAACCTGCTAAGCACATTCAGACCCGGGATTGAAAGACAAATCTTGTTGCAAACGCATCTGTGCCTGCATTTCTCCAAGTGGTGGGGAAAAGGATGGGTGTGAGAAGGGAAACTTTGCAGCCTTCATAGAAGAAGAAAAGAGGAAAAAGAGATCAATGAAGGAAGCCAAGTTTCCAGAAATGGGGGAGAAGGGTTCCAGCAAATGCTTTAATAATAATGCCAATTTTAATAACAATGTGAAGAACAATGCCTTTCATCTAAACCCAGAAGACCCCAAAGAAATGCTTTACCTCGATTGTTGGTTACTATTGCGGGATTGCTTATAGGAACGGGCCAGAGTTGGGTATTCCCCTTCTCATCTTCGAACTGCAAAAACATCTCGTAGAAGATGGGTTCTGGAGTCCTTTGCAGCAGGGCAGAAACTTCAAGAGCGCACTAAAAAGAGCAGAGACCAAGTGGATACCATGCAATTCCGTTTGCTGGGCCCACTTAAGAGATCTGTTTAAGTGACACATCTCAGACTGACATGTTCAGTTAATTGTTTATAAAGAAGCCCCCAGATTCACAATAGGTTGCAACCGCAGCAGAAGACCCATGTGGGAACCGTTGATGTCCTTCAGATCTTCTGGAATAACTAGCTGGACCCACATCTCTGTTGGCCACCAAGTTGGAAAAGGCCCCACAAGAATAAATCGAGTGAATTTCGGTCTGAGAGGTAACCTGTCTACTCAGATCCCAATACTGCCTTCTCCCCAAACTCCAAAACAGGATCCCATCCACCACGGATCAACCCCAAAGTTTAAGATGAAGTATAGGCATCACTTACAGACTGGCGGTAGGTGGTCCCCATGGTGAAAGCAGCATCCAGAATCTTCTGGCTGTTTGGACAGAGCTAAATGGAGCAAAGAGAAAAGGNGTCGCAGTTCCCCCCACCACCACACCATCTATTCCCCACTCACCCTCAGGACTTTGGATCAGCTCTGGAGCACAGGAATCACACTGGCCAGTCTCGAGGTTGAAGAATTTGTCAGCCGCACATTTCTCAGGAAGGCTGGAGGCTGCAGACCCGTCCCTTAGACCCAGCACGGAGTCCTGCAGGGGATTAAGAAGAAGCAGGAGGAGGAGGAGGAGGAAGAGGGAGCTTTTCAAACTCCGCATTTCGGAGGAAGCTTGCAATGGGGGTTGGGGCACCCCACTCCCCGCAGATTGATCCTCTGTGGGACAAGAAGATCAGGAGATCTCCTGCACAAGGCTTTTGTGTCGATCCAGGTGTATCCGTAGTAACCAAACACAGGTGTGGCTTCTTAGGAGCTGAAGCAAGGTGTTTAGCTTTGACTCCCCTGCCACTTTTACTCGTGGTCCTCGTCTGTGGCCAGACTCAGCCACGGAGACAAGGCATGGGGCGATCTTGGCGCACGACTAAGGAATCACGGTAGGCTTTCTCTGGTTCAACACCAGTGCCACGACCACACGGAAAACACCAAGGAAGACTGGTGATTTATGAGGTTGAGAAAGGGTAGATTACGCGAAGAAGAAGGCAGCGATGTTATAACCACAGAGAAAGGGGGTGAAATCCAAAGGCCCTTATAGCTACTGTAAAGATCACGAGCCATTTTTTTTTACACTTTTCTTTTCCTATTGTTCTTTCTCATAAGGGTGAGGACTGGTCATAAGTCCGCTTTTTTTCAGTGCCATTTGAATGACGGCCAAATGGATGGTTATAAGTCAAGGATTACTTGCATTCCATTTATTTAAAAGAGAGAGAGAGAGAGAGAGTAGCACAGAAGACGGGAATCTGGAATAAGCATAACCTGGGCAGGGGGAAAAAAGAGTGAAGTTGTAGTTTCATTTATTTATTGAAGCTTTATTTTATTTTCCCCTGATTCTGTCATAATGAGAACTTGAAATGTTTTCAGTACATAAGTTAAAAACAACAATATTTCACGTAGGACATGAAGTCGCACTCTTGATACAGGGCACTCACAACTGCACCCAATGTACATCAGAACATTATATATATATATATATATAATTATATATTACACAACCAAACACAGCAGTTTTAAAACTTCAGCGAAACTCACAAGATGGAAATGCTTACAATCGTACGATATGCAGTTCTGGTTTTTTTTTATTTTGCTTTTTAAAAGGGTAAACAAGAGAAGGATATGTCTCAAAATGACATATTCAGCAACACCCTCCCGCACACACAAAAACTAGGATCTGTTGCAGACCCAAAAAGTCGCTTAAACTCTTCATTGCAATGACAAACCCGCCCTCTCCCCAGGCCTTTAAAGCCGACCTCAGAAATGCAAGCACACATCTGGATTCATGTCTTGGCATTCCACTAATCGTAGACTCTTCGCTCACATTCGGTTCAGTGCTTCTCTCCAGCCACCACCACCCCCCACCTTAAAAAGAAAAAAAGACCTTCAAGATTTAACCGTGGGACGGAGAGGAAAAAAACAAATTCACATGAGCACAATTGACGAGAGACCCAAATGGATGAAGGTATAAAAGGAGATGGGACGATATGCGTCAGAGGAACGGGACTCCTGCAGCCTTCATGGAATAGAGCCCTGGATTGCAGGAACCCAGGAGAAATCCACGCAAAGCTGTTGTCTTCAGATCCGTGCTTTCGACCATCCAGAAGTGGTAGCTGAGTTTTAATGCCAGTTTGCCCCACCGTGAAACCCTTTTGCAATCAACCCGTTGTTGGTGCACCCCTCGATGCGTTGTTTCCGCCGTGTGTTATAAGCTGACGCCTGCTGGGAGAAGTAGATGCCTTGCCCAAACTGGAAGAAAAGCCGAGCTAGAAGAATTTAGCAGAGGCCTCTCTCCAGATGTGGTGGTTTGGGCTTTTCCTGCAGGAATAGGAACAGCAAAAAAGCCAACCGGGAGGAATACTGATGTGCTGAGCCTCCTCCAGATGCTTATCTGGGCTCCAACTCTTAACAGAAGCTACTACTGGCAAGGAACAGGCTGCTAAAGACCGCAAGCTGCTTGTTTTGGAAACCACCAGGAAAGGATCTGGTTAACAAGTGGAAATAATAAGGGGAGCGTCCAAAAATTCTATCAGTAGAAGAAGTCACCCCCACTCCCAAGGCAGAGTCAACAGAGACAACTAACATCTAAGCCAGTGTTTCTCAACCTTGGCAACTTGAAGATGTCTGGACTTCAACTCCCAGAATTCCCCAGCCAGCATTCGCTGGCTGGGGAATTCTGGGAGTTGANTGACTCTGTAAACCGCTTAGAGAGGGCTGAAAGCCCTATGAAGCGGTATATAAATCTAACTGCTATTGCTATTGCTATTATTCCTTTTAGTTGTTGTTTCCTTGCACTTGTTTCTTCCCTTTTTTGAACTTACTGGAAAATTATTTTTAAATTTAAAAAAAATTAGGTCAAAGCCATCAGATCCCTACTCGGTTGTAGCAAGGAGGTGCAGCCGAAATCCACCCACCTCACATGCCTGGAAGCTCCCGTCAAGAAACTCCGATTCCCAGAGGGTGCCAGCAGGAACGCTGCTCTGTAGGTATGGGGAAGAGAAAGATCATGTTGGTTTTTTTAATGTTTCTGCCCGCATCCCCAAGAAAGAGCCAAAAAGATAAGCTCTTACACAGCCGGGGCATGGAAGACGAGGGGGATCTCCACTTGATTCTTTTGATCCAGGCTTGCAAACACAACTCAAACCTACAAGGAGGAAAACTGAGTCAAGACAGAGCTTCTAGAAGGTACTTCACTCATTGTAGAGGCCTCGGGAGTTCACTGAAAGCATTGATGGGTAAATTGGCAGCCAATTCTGCTGTGAACAGGTGAACTTTAGCATTTCAAAGAAATCAGGAATTCTGGGAGTTAGCGCTCATCAAGTTAGCTGAAAAACACCACTGCAGAGCACATCTGTATTCCACCAGCTGCTGGCACCAGTGCATTCTTTCAATGGATATATTCCATCGTGCCTGCTTATTCTCTTATAATCCCTTTCTCTCCAATGAATGCAAATGCAAACGTTAACTCCCTTCGTGTGAATTATCCCAGCAGCCGAGTTAGCATCCCAAGTGGGGGGAAAGGAAAGCGGAGTCAGCTTCACTAGGATTACAACCACTTCGCTTAGCGACGGCACTGCCGCTCCCAATTCTCGTCGCTAAACAAGAACTACTTGTACCCTTGCAGAATATGCAGCGAAGGCCACAGGAACAGCTAAACGGCGTTTCTTGTTATTGGGTGGATGTTTTTACATAGGGAAAGTAGCAGGGCAGGGGGGGGGGAGCGAGAAGAATGAGATTGCAGCGGGACCCCGCCACAAATCAAAAGCTTCCCCCGCAAGTCTGCAATTAGCCGTGGCACATAATTTCATGCTCACTGCACGGCCCCCAAGGGCACCCTCGGGATGCACCAATGCGCTTCCTTTTCTGCAGAGTTGGCATTTTGGTAGCTGTAAACACAGCGTCTAATAACTCATTAAGGCTTCTCCTTCCTGCAGCTTCTTCACAAAAAGGGGTGGGATTTTTCCAAGGTCCAATTCTTTCCCCCCCCCCCCCAGATAGTTCCTACATTGCAGTCTTGCTGCTGGATGTACATTTGTATTTGTATTTGTATTTTATTATTTGTATGCCGCCCTTCTCCGGGAGGACTCAGGGCGGCGAACAATTCAAGGGGGAAAAAAAGGGGGAACATAAAAGACAAAATACAAATAATAAAATACAAATACAAAT